CCGCTCCCGGTGTGGGCCCCACGTGCACTTTACTATTCACGCGAAAGAATAATAAAAATTTACAACTTCGTAAATTCGTAAATCATTCCATAAGGTTTATTACATCATTTACTTGAAAGTAAATACATTTGGGGACGGTGTTACAAGTTCACCCCCCCTTATTTGGGATTTCGTCCCCGAAATCCGTGTGTCTAATCGAAAAGAAACGGGTATTGCTCCCTCATTGAGACTTCGGTCTCCCAAGTTTCTTCTTCGACTCGATCACTCCTCCAAAGAACCTTTACCATAGGAATCTCCTTATTCCTAAGCTTCTTCACTTGTTGACCTACTATCTTCACCGGCTCTACCGCATATTGCAAATCCTCACGGATCTCTACCGGTGGTTTCTCAAGAATATGAGATGGGTCCCGTATGTACTTCTTGAGCATCGATACATGAAACACGTCATGTATCTTCTCAAGCTCTGGTGTCAACTTGAGGCGGTAAGCCACGGCCCCAATCCTTTCAAGGATCTCAAATGGACCAATGTATCGGGGATTAAGCTTCCCCCTCGATACAAATCGGATGATGCCCTTCCAAGGAGAAATCCTTAGAAAAACCTCATCACCGACCTCGAACTCCAACGGTCTCCGCCGTTTGTCAGCATAACTCTTCTGTCGGTCCTGAGCAGCCCTCAGTCTATCCTGAATGATCCTCACCTTAGCTTTGGTGATTTCAACCAGTTCTATACCTTCGAGTTTGGCCTCGCCAACCTCGTCCCAACACAATGGTGTTCTGCATTTCCTCCCATACAATGCCTCATATGGGGGCATGCCGATACTTGCTTGATAACTGTTGTTATAAGCAAACTCCACTAGGGCCAAATGCTTGTCCCAACTTCCTTGGAACTCCAGCGCACATGCCCTAAGCATGTCTTCCAAAATCTGTATCACTCGTTCGGACTGTCCATCCGTCTGTGGGTGAAAAGCTGTGCTAAACTTCAGTTTAGTACCCAACGATGCTTGAAATTTTGGCCAAAATCGGGATGTGAATCGTGGATCCCTATCCGAGACAATGGATATTGGGACTCCATGTAGTCTCACAATCTCCTCCGTGTATAGCTTGGCCAATCTTTCAAGAGGATAAGTAATGTTGATAGGCAAAAAGTGTGCACTCTTGGTGAGCCTATCAACCACTACCCATACTGCGTCATAGTTGTTCACTGTTCGTGGTAGCCCCACCACGAAGTCCATGGTCACGTGCTCCCACTTCCACTCCGGGATGGTAAGTGGTTGCAAAAGCCCTGCCGGGTGCTGATGCTCTGCCTTAACTTGCTGGCAAGTAAGGCACCGACTCACATATTCTGCGATGTCTCTCTTCATACCTGACCACCAGTAACTCTCCTTCAAATCTCGGTACATCTTAGTACCTCCTGGATGCATAGCATAAGCTGAAGAATGAGCCTCCTCAAGTATGGACTTCCGGAGGTCTTCATTCTTTGGTATGCATACACGATCCTTAAACAATAATAGACCGTCATCACGTACTCGGAAGTTCTCAACGGGTCCTTCAAGGATCCTTTCACGGATCTTCTGACATTCCTCATCAATGGCCTGACTTCGACTAATCTCGCCCAATAGGGTGGGCCTAACCTCGAATCGAGCAATGAGAGCCCCGCACGTGGACACCTCCACGCGCGCTCTCAATGCCTGTAGGCATGTGAGTAGCGTCCCCGACGTACTCTTTCTGCTCAGTGCGTCGGCCACGACGTTGGCCTTTCCTGGATGGTAATCGATGATCAAGTCATAGTCCTTGATCAACTCCATCCATCTCCTCTGTCTCATATTCAACTCTTTCTGAGTGAATACGTACTTCAAGCCCTTATGGTCTGTAAAAATGTGACATGTCTGCCCGTAGAGATAATGCCTCCAGATTTTCAGTGCAAACACTACCGCCCCCAATTCTAGGTCATGGGTAGGGTAGTTCACCTCGTGCTTTCTCAATTGCCTTGAAGCATAGGCAATCACTTTACCGTTTTGCATCAGTACACATCCAAGCCCTTGGATGCTAGCATCACTGTATATATCATACCCTATCCCTTGTATGGGTAGGGCAAGGACTGGTGCTTCGGTAAGTCGTTTCTTCAGTTCAAGGAACCCTTTCTCACACTTGTCGTCCCATATGAACTTGGCCCCTTTCTTTGTGAGCTTCGTTAATGGAGACGCCAATACAGAAAATTTTTCAACAAATTTACGATAGTATCCTGCTAAGCCAAGGAAACTACGTATCTCTTTCACATTCTTGGGTCTCTCCCAATCCATGATAGCCTTTATCTTGGCGTTATCCACAGCAACGCCCGAACCGGATATGACGTGACCGAGAAAACCAATCTCCTTGAGCCAAAATTCGCATTTAGAGAACTTGGCAAAGAGTTGTTTTTCCCTTAGTCGATCAAGTATAAGCCCCAAGTGATGTTCGTGCTCCTCTTCACTCTTGGAGTATATTAAGATGTCGTCAATGAATACTATCACAAATTGATCTAAGTATTCACTAAATACACGGTTCATCAAGTCCATGAATGCCGCCGGTGCGTTGGTTAAACCAAACGACATCACAAGGAATTCGTAATGACCATATCTAGTGCGAAATGCACTCTTAGGTATGTCACTCTCCTTGATCTTCAACTGATGATACCCCGACCTCAAGTCAATCTTCGAGAACACTATTGCCCCTCGGAGTTGATCGAACAAGTCATCAATCCTCGGTAAGGGATACCTGTTCTTGATGGTGACCTTGTTCAACTGTCGGTAGTCGATACACATTCTTAGTGTACCATCTTTCTTCTTCACGAAGAGTACGGGTGCCCCCCACGGTGAATGACTGGGTCTGATGAACCCGTTGTCCAGTAATTCTTGTAGTTGGACCTTCAACTCTTGGAGTTCGGCCGGCGCCATTCGATAAGGAGGAATCGAAATGGGTTTGGTTCCCGGCTCTACTTCAATTACAAACTCTATCTCTCTATCGGGTGGAAGCCCCGGTAGGTCTTTGGGAAAGACATCCGGGTATTTGCACACGACCCGTACATCTTTGATGTCGACTTCCTTCTTGGTATCGTCCACCACGTAGGCAAGGTATGCGTGGCATCCCTTCCTCATCATTTTCCGTGCTCTCATCACGGATATTATACAAGCATTAGATTTCCCCCGATCTCCCTCGAAACATAGCGTGTTTCCTTGATCATCCTCGAGCTCTAACACCTTGGTGTAGCAATCTACTCGAGCATGGTGTTTCTCGAGCCAATCCATTCCTAGGATTGCATCGAACTCCAACATGCTTAGAGGTACGAAATCACAAGTCAAAGGTTGACCCGTCACTTCTACCTCACACGACGGATAGTAATGATTTCTCTCCACGTCGTCTCCTAACGGTGTGGAGACTAGCAACGTTTGAGTCATAGGTGTCAATGGCACGTCAAGGCCCTCGGCGAACGCCTCACTCACAAATGAGCGTTGTGCCCCGGTATCAATGAGGATCCTCGCACACCTACCATTGATCTTTAATGTTCCTACATTTATACACCATGTAAGATACATTTTCTAATGTTTTTACACATTTTTAGGAGGTTATTAGGCTCATACTAATGTTTGGAATCAAACGGGGGTCCAAACGTAGAAGAACGGGGCGAAAAAATCAAGTTTCGGCTATTGGGGGTCCACGCACGGCGTGCCTGGGTGGCACGCACGGTCGTGCGTGAGTGAGAAAATCGAAACCCGCCACTGCCGGCTACGCACGATCGTGCGTAGCTGGTCACGCACGATCGTGCGTCTCACGCACGGCGTGCCTTACCTGCACGCACGGCGTGCGTCTGCGCGGAAAATGGCCAAAGGCTGCTGCCTCGCACGCACGGTCGTGCGTCTGTAGGTACGCGCGACCGCGCGTAGTTGTTTTTAGCCCATTTCGCTCCGAATTCGCGGGGTTTGACCCCGGGGTGGCCCGCACCCAAACCCAATGACTCGTATGACCCAGATAAGCCTAGAAATACATGGGAATACGTGTATTACCTGCAACGGAGTCCGGGTTTGCTCTCGCATCCGCCTCGGTCATCGCGTACACTCGGGCTTGGGTCCCACCTTGGTTGACGGATGCGGCATGACTTGTGGATGCGCCGCCTCTTCCCGTGCCGCCGTTTGACGGTCCCGCACGGTTCCTTCCCGTCATGGTCCCTCCCCCGGCTCCCGAGGCACTCTCTTGCATCAATTGAGGGCAATTGGCCTTCATATGGCCCGCATTCCCGCACTTAAAACACCTCGGTGGTTCATTGCACTTCCCAAAGTGTTGTTTTGAGCAATTGGGACATCTAGGTGGCCCCGAGTTCTGTGGCCTAGGTCCGTGCCACCTCGCATCCCTGTTCTTCTTTGCCGGTGGGGCCGGCGCCTTGAATGAACCACCGCCACCACCACCACCCCCGTGGTTGTTTCTTCGAGAATGATCGGGTGGTCCCGAATTATTCCACTTCCTCTTCTTCGCCTCTTCGGCGTCCCTTGCTTTCCTCTCATTCCACTGGGCCTCTCCAAGAAGACCCTGTTCCACCACCTCGCTAAATGACATGTGGCGAGAGTATGTAGCTCGGTCGCGGATGTCCAAGAGTAATGCATCCCAGAAGTGCTCCGTCATGCGGTTTTCATCAACCGCGTACTCTGGCAAGAACCTCGCCAAGGTTCTAAACTCTTGTTCCAGCTGCTTAACCGTGCCGCCATCTTTCTGTTTGAGGTTAGTGTACTCTCTCCGTTTCACATTCACCTCGTACTCGGAGTAGTATTGAGCATAGAACTCTAGCTCAAAGTCCGCCCATGTTATTTCCCCATGGTACTTCCCTTCCACACTCTCCCACCACGTAGAGGCTATCCCTTCAAGTAGCCGTGAAGCGACAGTCAACTTCACGTCCGGTGTGATTTGCATGTCTCTTGATGCATCCTTCACCTTCTTAATCCAATCGGCGGCAACGGTAATGTCACCGGTGCCGTCAAAGGACCTACACCCCAAGGCCCTAGCCTCCTTGAGGTACTTGGAGATTCTCACAACAAAACCTCCTTCACGCCCCCCTTGTGACGCCGCTGGGGTGGCCACGGAAGCTCCCCGGCTCCCTTGACCCGAACCACCACGAGAGCCACGCCTCGCTTGGCGCCTAAGGTCTCTCCTCTGTTTCTCCTTTTGATACCACTCAAGTAATTCACCCATTTGGGCGAAGCGGGCATCACTTTCATCATTGTCCTCATCGGTGTATGTGTCACCCCCATCATATGGGGTCTCCTCATGCTCTGTCTCAGGAACATACGTAGAGTCATAGTCCTCGGTGTTGGTTTCATACACCGAGCTTACATGGCCATCACTCACAGTTTGAGCTTGATGACCCCCACGGCTTCCACGGCCTCCACGGCCTCCTCTTGAACCCCGAGATGCAGCCCGGCTTCCCCTTTGGGATGTTACCGGCGCCTGCCCCCTCGGATTGTTCCTGGTCCGCATTCGCCTGCCCTCCATTTCTGAAAGAAATATGGATGAGTCATTAGACTCCTATAAATGTCAATTGACGGAAGAACGTTACAGACACGTATTGGTCTAAGTCACCACCATACCAATTGTTAAGGGTACCGTCTTAACAATTAGAGGCCTTGCAACTTAGGCTCCAATAGTCCCATAACGTCAAAATCCAATGCTCATGGTTTTCGGTAAAAACTCTTTCATAAAATCTCATGTGAGAGGTTGATTATATAGTTTAGAACTGAGATGGCTCTGATACCACTTAATTGTCACGCCCCAGACCGCAATCCAAGCGCGTGTACAACCGCCGTATAATCAAGTGACGTCACCCGCGAGTCAACCTCACTTGATTACACAAGGCGTTCGAGAGAAATAATCCATCCATACTCAGTAGTAAACATACATAACAACATCACATTTAAACCAATGAATAGCGGAAGTATTCAACGGTAAGTCATAAGCCACAACCGGCCAATAACATGGGCATGCAAGCCCCAAAAGAATAGTTTATGACAAATAAAAATATCCATGAGCAGTGTTTGGTAATTTGAAATGAAATGAGGAAGCACGAACCACGTCTTCCTTGATTTGATGTCACCCGTAGAAAGGTGCAGGTAGCAAGCCCTAGCTTCAACCTGAAAATGGTGGGGCCCCCCGAAGGGGTCAGTACAAGTACCGAGCGAGTAGCAGGCTAAATATAGAATAACTAGCGTTTCAAGTATAAGACCCAAACATAGGATGATACATATACGTATAGTCTTTCCCCCAAGTTTGAAATACATATTAGTATACATACACTTGGAAATACCCGACCCGTAGGTCATTGTTTATTTGGGAAATAATAGTAGCCAATATCCTTGACTTAAACCCCAACCCACCCATATACCTATGAGTGTATAGAACTCCTCCTTGTTCAAATAAATTATCATGAGGACACCACCCGGTCCTAGATCATTAAATGTAATCTATGAGTTTTGAGGATACACGCCCGATCCTTGGGTACTCCACCCTATAATTGAGTTTTGAGGATAACCGCCCGATCCTTGGGTACTCCACCCTATATAACCGAGTTTTGAGGATAACCGCCCGATCCTTGGGTACTCCACCCTATATAACCGAGTTTTGAGGATAACCGCCCGATCCTTGGGTTCTCCACCCTATAACCGAGTTTTGAGGATAACCGCCCGATCCTTGGGTACTCCACCCGACCTATGACTTACCACATATCACACTAGATAGGGTCTATATCATATTTAGTCACTCATAACTAATTCAATACATAAGACTTATGTATCACAATTCATGCAAATCCATGCAATTATATAAATGTACAATTAACTAATATCAACCGACATTAATTAATCCATTGTCCATCGGTCAACGTTGTCGTTGACCGCCATTCAAGCCTTGTACATGTCAACTTAATCATCATATAATTAAGTTAATAATAATCATTTGTGCTTCTTTGACATTCCCAACAAATATGCATTTCATATTATTTCTCATATCATCATTAATTCTTGTGCATATCATGTTTCATGTATAAACAATTAATTCTTTTCATACAAACTTATCTATGTTGGCTAATCACGTGTTTAAATATCTTTTAAACATCATTATGAACACTTATAACATTTATTTAGGTAATCTTATAATTAACCCAAAAGTTATAAGATATTAAGCCGTCCACTCACCTTGAACTAGCGTTATGAAGTTCTACCCTTCTTGGTTGAACTCCGGTGGAACTCCGGCGACTTTTGGCCAACTCCGGCGACAACTCCGGCGACTTTTCCAACTTTGTGAAATCACTTGAAATACCTTTCACAAGTTCCTAACAAGGTTTTATAATCATAAAACCCATGTTAATACAAATAACCTCAAAAAAGGTTATTTTCCGGTGAACCGGTCGTTTTGGCTTCTAAGTCCGTTCTTGGACTTAGAACCATTTTCCAACCCATAAATCCATACTTATAACATGTGGAATCATACTAAGGGTCCTTCATATGATATATACCTCATATGATAGAAGAAAAATAAAGGAAAAGTTATAATAAGGTCATTACCTTAATTTTCACACTTTTTCCTAGCTTTTTCCTTCTTTAATCTTCCTTCTTGGAACCCTATGGCTTGAGCTCGAATTTTGGCTATGGAAGATGAGTTTGCAGAGGTCTCCTTGTTCTCTTGGTGTGCCTTGGTCGAAATTATGGGGTGGGTGAGTGAAGAGATAGCCTCTTTGGCTTTTCTCTCAAAATAATGTGAGAATGGACCCCCCCATTGTACCTTTGATAGACTCCTCACCCTTCCTTTGTCTTGCCAGCCACCAAGAGTCACATTTAAGCTGAAAAAAAACGTGGGATGGCCCCCACTCATGTGGGAGGTCATCCCTTTATGCCCCGAGGTGTACAATCGGTCCCGAAAGTTGTATTTTTCGGACTGTTTTAATCATATTTTATTTTATCGGGTAAAATAAAGTATATTACGTGTTCTCAATCGTAATGGCCTTTTGAAATAATATATATTCCAAAACATTGATTTAGAAGTCTCCGAAATTCATTTTCGGGCTGATATCTGTTAAATTACCAGTACCGGTAATTTGGGCTTCTTTTGACGAATCGGTCAACTCTGGGCCTTTCCATGGTCCAAATGAAATATTCACCACTATATATTTATTATCTAGACCAAGATGAATAAAGTATATGGTCTCGGGAATGTCGGGCGACCCCCGCTCCCGGTGTGGGCCCCACGTGCACTTTACTATTCACGCGAAAGAATAATAAAAATTTACAACTTCGTAAATTCGTAAATCATTCCATAAGGTTTATTACATCATTTACTTGAAAGTAAATACATTTGGGGACGGTGTTACACCAGTTCAGACCTAACCAGACAAGATTAGACTAGGGGTGGGAAAACCCGAATCGAAACCCGGAAACCGACCCTGGACCGACCCGAATTATGACCACGGTCCGGATTTTTTCTTTTTAACCGGCCCGAATTAAAAATACCCCGACCGAACCCGAAATTCCGGGCTCATTAACGGGCCTTAAAATCTATAACCCGGCCCGGACCGAAAAAACCCGAAACAATTAGCTTTAATATAAAATTAATATAATATATGAATATAAATTTATAAATATTCCCTAATATATGATTATAATCACGGTGGATAAAAAATCATTTAGTAACTTTTAGTGACTACAAATATGTTTAATTTGTTTAGCATAATGACCATGAAAATATATTTATAGGTACTCTATTCACATTTTTATCTATAAATTTTATTTTGTAATATTTTTAAGAAACCTATATTATTTATTTATATGCATCTTAAATAAAATATTAAGATAACTATCTTCTTTGGATTTGAATTGTTGGTGATTTTGAAGACTAATATTTGTGTTATTATTTGCGGTTGTATTTTTCATTAATTTTATTTGAAAATAGGTGTTAAAATATAAAAGAACAATGGGATAGTTCACATTCGGGCTTTAACCGGCCCAACCCGAACCCGGACCAAACCCGGGCTACCAAAAACCCGACTCGGACCGAATATGATGGGCTTTGTTCCGGTCCCTAATTTTCATAACTCGGGACCTTCCGGGTAATTTCCGGGTTTAGCAAAAACCCGACCCAGACCGGACCGATCCCACCCCTAGATTAGACAGACCAGACCAAACCAGACAAGATTAGACAGACCAGACCAGACCAAACCAGACCATCAAATTTCAGTTCAAAAGAAAACATCCAAATTCTAAAATCATTTGGAAGTTTGAATATTGTTGTATTGATTACTTTCAAGGGATAAATACGTATCTATGAGTATAAGTGCTGAGAATTCCCATAATATGAGTGGGTAAGTGTATTGACCAGCGTATGACTAGGGAAGAGGGTAAACATGGAACACGCATGATCCGGTCATCCTTAACCGTCTTAAGGAGTGTTTGCAGTTGATTAAAAAAAGCACTTTTCAGCTTTTGGCTAAAAAAAAGTTAAAAAGAGTGTTTTCAAATGACAGCTTCTGCTTAAATTAATCACTTAAAAGCTAAAAGCTGGAAGCAGGTGGAAGGGTGCTTTAAACTGCTTTTCACTTTTTCTATTACACAAAAAGTACTTATTTTACCAAACACTACCAACTTTTACTTTTTCAGAATCACTTTTTCCTCAAACACTACCAACTTTTACTATTAATCACTTTTTCCCAAATCACTTTAAAAAATCACTTTTTTAAAGTTGAAGCAATTGCAAACACTCCCTTAGAAAAGAGGGCAAAGCTGGAAGGAAACCTAAAAATTAAAAGGCACGATCATGTACATACATGCCATGTGCCATCATTTAAGGAAAAAGAAGATATTAGTCATAGATTAAGAAACATGTTTTAATCGGGGTAAATTTCTCTACTTTCAATGCAATTTGTAAATGATTCTTTTCTGAAACATCTAAATAAAAAAATTAAGGGAAAATTGTCAAATAGGTCCTCGAACTTTTATAAAAAGGTCAATTAAGTCCTTCTATAGGAGGTTCTGTCCAGCCGTCGTGATTTGAGGCAGTTCCCGGTGGAATTTTTTGATGAAATTTTTTTAGCATCTTATTCACCAAGTCTAGTTTACTCATACCAAATTTCAGCTAAAAACTCAATCGGGAACACATTCAAATTAATTCATGAAGATAACTGCGCATTTTTGCGTTCAAGGTCAGATTAATTTGAATGTGTTTGATACGTGGTGCAATTATGAAGTACTACGTAAACTTAAACTCTCAATTTCATACTCCGTTCAGCGAAAAACATGAAATACTACGTATTTGATACGTGGTGCAAGGTCAGAAATCATGATGCCTTTCCTCCTCACACGTGTAAAAGCACGTAAACTTAAACTCTCAATTTCATACTCCGTATTCAACAGCAACTGAGCAAATCATCTTCCACCGAAACTCCCATCCTGATCGTCTCTGTTCTAGTTGCAGGTAATTCTCTCTTTCCAGATAGATTTCGTGAGAGGATTAGCTCCTACCTAAAAAAAATCATCTTTTTGTTGTCTTCATATCACATTCATATCATTCAGTGCCCACAATCTGCTTGATAAAACGACGGAATGAGCTTCTCATATATTACTCCGTATTATTTTACTAGTTTGTGTACCCCGATGTACAAATTCATTAAGAGATACTCCGTATATTAAAGTATTCTACTCCACTGATGGTGTAACTTGGTTTTTTATTCTTATTGGATCGGAAGTGGGATTGCTTTTTCTATATTTTTCCTTATTGACTAGACATAAAAAGACGAATGCTTTTTAATTCTCTCTGCTAATTAGGGTGTTCACACTCCAGTAAAGGGGAAATTTTCCTTTTTTCCTTTTTTATTCTGTTAAAAAATACTCCGGGGTATGAAAATCTTGTTTATCATTCGCTATGCTTTCACCTTAAGCTTCAAAGCCTAGGAATTTCAACAGCTTATGAGATTAATTAGTGTGATTAGAAGATTATGCATTTCATTTTTATAGACATTTTCTTTTTTCTGGAAATGCTAATGCCTTCTGCAAAATTTATCTCCAGGAGTTATGCTGAAACGTGGAAACAGGCCACAGAAGCAATTAAACAATGCTCGGCTTGTCAGGTTGCCGATTTTCATTGTGTTCTTTTTACTCTTCTGTGCCTCAATCCTCATTTTCTTTGGGAGAAATGGCAAGAGATCTGATAATCCATCCCCACGCTCATCAAAACAGCATTTGAATACCTTGAGTTCTTCTGTAAAGCTGGATCCCTTTGTGGAAATCAAGAACGGGACCGAATTGGTATGGCAAATACCCGAAAAGCCCAAATCGGTTTTATTTCTTGCCCATGGCTGTAATGGCAAAGCAACCGACTTTTGGGACAAAACGCCTAATTGCCCAAACTGCATTGGCCTTCCAGAAGAAAGGCTCATTGTGATGAACGCCCTTTCAAGAAAGTTTGCAGTTCTTGCCATATCCAGTTCTAGAAGATGCTGGTCATTCGGAGAAGAAAGGTATAAGGTTAAATACATTATAAATTCGTGGGTATCTGAGCAAAATCTGGAAAATGTTCCCCTTGTAGCTCTGGGCGCTTCCTCTGGCGGATACTTCGTTTCTCTTCTTGCCACTGATATTCAGTTCAGTAGCATTGTTCTAATGATTGCTGAAGGGCTGTATGATAAAATTGATCTAAGAAAGGGATATTACCCACCCACCATGTTTGTCCACATGCCCAGAGATGGAGCTAGAAAGCTTAGCATTGATAGATTCATCATACTTTTGAAGGAGAATGGTGTCGACGTTGAAAAGATTGAGTGTTTGGAGTTTCCACTTTCACCCGAGTTTTTAGCGGGTCGGGTTCCGGGTCTGGATCTGACTGTTTCTGCAAAACTGTTTGAGTTGTTTCAGAAGAATGGCTTTGTAGACAAGAGGGGTTTTATGAGAAAGGATGGACGAGCTATACGATGGGATGCGGCTATCAAGAAAGAAATGAAGTCTCTTCTTCCTGATATTTCTTTGCTCAAACATATTCAAGAAGAAATGAATCTTGCTTATGGGTATCATGAGATATCAAGCTTGCAGTCTGAACAAATCTTTAACTGGTTTGAATCTCATTTGAGCAAAAAAGTAATTTGATATCAAGAATGTTAAAGGATCTGATGTGTTCAGTAAGTCAGTGGTTAGAAATCCAAATAGTGCGTTTAACCCTTAATGTTATGTTCAATGAGCAGTAGATGATACCAGATTTCTATATAGACATGGTGTTTATGGTGAAGTGTTGAGGCTTGCTGTTTTGCATGACCAGGAGAAAAAGTGGAGATATTGGTGGTTATTACTACATGAGTACTATTTTTGCACTATTGACTAAGAGTAGTACATCACAAAAAAAAAGTAGTCCTACATTATTGGTTCATATTGACTTCATAGGTCTCCAAATAAAATAAAAGGTAGTGTTTTTCAATAATTACATCAAATTTTATAAAGAACATTTTCACATTTTCGGAAACCACCTTTCATGTTCCGATTAGAAGCACAATTGGTTAATCCTATGCGACCTGCTCGTTTCAGGTTTTCCCTCTATTGTTTTGAAATTAAATCTTAATCAGAGGCTCAATGGCCCATTTATCCTCTTAGCCTCTTAGGTTTGACTATTGGATGACGTTGTTTTTTAATTTAATATCTCATTCATCCTCAAAATGTCAATCAAAAAGGAAAGATGACAAGGTATAAAAGACGAGTATCAGTTAACCAAACGACACCATTTGAAACATTGAATTAAGTTGAAAAAAATAATCTATCCGTTGGAAGGTCGGAAGAAACAACTATGCATGAGGCGGCAAAGCTATTGAGCTAGTGTAGAAGGGGCACGTAAAAGAAGGCAAAGCTATTGAACTAGTGTAGAAGGGGCATGTAAAAGAAGGCAAAGCTGTTGAACTAGTGTAGAAGGGGGAGGTAGAAAAAGACATGGAGTGTCATGGACTTTATACCTATATATAACTAGTATTTCCGATGAGGGGGTGGGAGGCACCGACTTGCCCCTTGACTCTGCCCCTACAGAATTTATGGGAAGCATTAAAAACTCCATATTGGGAGGACATCATAAGATCGAAGGATAATATTCAGAAGCATTAGCTATTAGAGAGTATTTTGACATTCATTAGAGAGGATATCCGAGACTTTCTTAAAACGATTAATAATACTACTCATTGACAAGGTGCATTTTGTTTTAAGAAAGCTCATCTACTAAAAACTTCATGTTAAGCGTGCGAATTGGAGTGGTGTAAGGATGGGTGATCCCAACTAGAAAATTTCACAGGGCATGCATGAGTGAGAACAAAGTGTGTCGTGAAGGTTGTTGATGTTTGTTTGTGAGGACTATATTAGATCTAGATAGCATTCAAGAATAACTACATTGGACTCCCACTTGGGTCGAGGTGTTACATAGATCTTCTCTCAATTTTCATGAAATAGATTATTTTAGTGATACCATAGGGTATCGTGATCTAATAAGTTATGTTCACTTGATTTTCTTCGGCTTTAAAATAATTCACATGAATCGCATCGCAATGATTTCACAAAATCATTTATTGAAGACTTGATAAAGGTGAAGCCGTAATGTTTGTCTTAAACTTCTCAGTTAGGTTGGGAAATATCCAATTATCTCGTATACTCGTTTGAGTAGTAGATTTCAGGATGGGCACTTCAACAATTAATGAACGTGCGAAGTTTTCCTAAAGTCGTGGATCTTAATCTAGCAATTTAGGCACAATAAATTACAATAAATTACAGTGCAAGTAAATAAAGAAAGAGATAACAACATGATTTATATTGGTTAGAATGTGTCCATACTTCAGTATCTGAAGACAACTCCTTAAGGATTTCAAAAATCACTATCCTCAGATCACCTTGAACTTGAGCAAAACCACCGCAAAGAAAGTTTGTCAAACAACCCCTTTTCAATGAGGAAGGCTCTCCTCAACCTAATGATTTACAGGTTCTCGTTAACTTTTGAGGATTTGGCACACAGATCTCCTCAACACTAAGGTTTGAAGATGGCTCACCTTGATCATATAGATATAAGGATTTGTGTAGAATATCCTCAATCGTAATTACATTGTATGTGTATTGAATTTGAAACACAGCTGCCTTCTTCACTCCTATTGGATTTGAATGAATTTGCAATGGAAGTGCAGAATATTTTCAAGTATATTATTCTAAATAAACAATTACTATTGAAATCTAGATATGTAAGACTGTAAGAGTATACAATTAAGCCAAGCTTCGAGATGAATGCAATATCCCATGATGCAACTAGATGTGATAATGATGATCAAATGCCTTGATGAATCTCAATACTTTATATATTATTGTGAGAGAGCTATTATAATGTAAACGTGTTGAGTAAAGTATAAGAACGTTTCTCAAGTGTACTCACATAGCTTTCACCGTGTACTTAAGAGTAAGGAAGGGGGGAGGGCGTGAAAGGGTACCTATAGGCTTAAAACCTCTTTCGACAAATATGGTTAATAGGATCATGCTTGAATTATTCAAGAAGTGATTGATTCATTTATAACCATATTTAAATTTATGAAACCACATTAAAGACGTTTAAATTTTTACAAATACGTAGTATATAATTTCCCTATAATTTTCTGGTATTCGATAGGCTCGAGTTCAAACAGAACATTATTGTGTTTGAGCTAGACTCAAATAGGATTTCGAAATTAAAACGTAGCTCATGTTCAAGTACGAAGTTCGTTAAGTTCAGCTTGTTAGAATTCAAATTTGGCTTGGGTTTGAACAATTTGAAAATAGCTCAGTTCATTAACAGTCGTATCTCGAACTAGACCACAAACAACCGACACACCTTTTTTTGGCTGGCTCGTTTGGACTGAAACTTGTTATGGTCTACTTTTAAGTTTTTTTTTTTAAAATGATTTCCATGTGAGATATTCTCCAATGATTATGTGCATACATACTCATATATATCTTAATTCCTAGATAAATTCCTTGTTGTGCCTACATTCGGTCACTTGGAAATCAAAGGAAGAGTGGATTCAAATTCAGCTACACGGGATCAAGATATGATGAGTAGCATTGAATGTATTACTTCTTAACATATAAAACAATTTGCATTGATTGACTATAGCACATCAAGGCTAACTGAGGGAAATGGCATCGTCCCTTTGTATCTACGCAATCTGTTTGACTGTATTAGTTAGATGATAGTAAATTGTAATTAAGGGGGTTACACATGCATTTACTGATTTCATAAATAGGGTTGCTTTGGTTCGGGCCTTGGTTGTGGACAGACTCACAATTTACGTCTCGAGATGACGTTTCTTTCCTTGACTGTCATTTACTTACTTAATTTAAGAAGGGTAAGCTAGGTCAATGGCCCCCCATTTGTACTTCACCATTTTGAATAAAATTTTGGTACGAGACACTCACCTTCTACCCCAAATGTTTCGATAGTTTATCTTGCAAGTTATACTTTTTTAATCTGATAGAAAAACAAAAATCAAAGAGGTGAATGTCGTAGAATATTTATCAAATAATAAGTCTATTCTTTTGTGCGTGTCGTAGAATATTTATCAAATAATAAGTCTATTCTTTTATTAAGGGAAAACTGTCAAATAAGTCTCATAGTTTAGAAAAAAAAGTCAATTAGATCTTCATACAAAATAATCACTCAATCAAATTCCTGACCATATTAAAATTATTCAAAATAGCAATATTTTAGTGAGTGTCAAGTTACTGAATAACATCCACATTTACTTTTATTTTTCCTTTGTTTTACAATTTATAGGGGGTGTTTGGGTCTGCTTTTTAAAACTGCTTCTGCTCTTTCTAGAAGCAGAAACATATATTGGAGTGTTTAGCTGAAAGTGCAGAAGTACTTCTCGGTGCTCCAAATTACTTCTAAAAGAAGTTTTTTATAAGCTGGGGTGATAAGTTCGTATTTCAACACGCATGTGATGCGTGTTGGGGTCGGATTTTGATGGTTTTCCTTGCTTTAAGGCGTTGCAAGTCTCAATTCTAGCTCAAGATGTGATTACCAGGCATTGGGTCGAGTTTTGTTGCATTTGGAGTCAAATTGGAAAAGTTAGAGACCGGCAATCAGCGCTTGAGAGGCAATCGGGAAGAGCTAGAGATCATTCGAGAGAGATTCGAGAGATTTGGAGGTCACCGGGTGATTCACGACGAAATTTTGATGAAGAAAGCGCATTTGGATCGACCTCGTATGCATCCGGGAGCGTTTGGAGCAAGAAAACAAGAGAAAAGAGCGAAAAATACGGACGCACGATCGTGCGTCAGTTATGAAGAAGCGAACAACATTCTGCCTACTACGCACGATCGTGCGTAGCCAGGGACGCACGATCGTGCGTAGCCCCGTTTTATGCGAATTTGAGTCCCAACTCGGCCAAAATTGCTATTTTTTCTCCTTTTTCTATAAATAAGGTCTCCCTAACCCTTTTAAGGGTTACGAATATTACAGAGATGCCTAGGGATGAATTTATTCATTGTTTTACGCTATTTTACTCCAATACCCTGAGATTATTTGTAAGTTCATCTTTTTAATTAATGACAATTTATTCTATTCATCCCAATTCTATTGATTCTTCAATTATGAATTGTGAGTAGTTTAATTAGGGATTTGAGGTTGATGAAGGGGTTAATCATGATTTATAGATAGACTCTTGATGGATTAATTGCATGAATGTCGTTTAATTTAATTTGTGTTTGAATAATTTAACTGATATCTTTTGTAACCTAGCTGGTTGCGAGGTTACCGTGCCTAGCGAGAGGTCTCGTGTTCAAATCCCGCTAGGCACAAGGGTGTGAAACTCAATGGAGTGAGTTTCAGCCCTGATTACTCCAGGCTCCCCCCAGCCCCCCTCCCCCAGACCCCCCCGGAGTAAAAAAAAAAAAAAAAAAAAAAAAAAAAAAAAAAAAAAAAAACCTAGAACGTGCGCTAGAATTACAATTGCTTGTAGAATAAGTTAAGAGAGATCTAATTTATTCTAGGACACATTCACACACACTTAATCGTTCTCTAAGAGATTAGTAGCGGTTAAAGGGCCGTAAGCTTTCTTGTCTTGGCAATAATTTAGGATCTTGTCGCATGAGAGATCAGTCTGGTCCCCTAAATTATTGTACTCTACACCACGAGAGCGGTAAGAACTTTGTAATGATTAGCTAGGCTCAATTAAATTAATATCATGTAATTAGGCCTGTTCTGCCAGAAATCTGGTTACCCCGGAATCAATCTCTGTTCCTTTCGTCGTTAATTAGAAAGAAACCAAGCTTTTAGTTTATCGTTCATTCGCATTAGTTTAATTTTAATTCAACAATCAATCTCGCACACTTGCATTTTATTTTATTTTATTTCTTTTTCATCGCTGAATTTAGTTAATCTTTAATTCCCTTTTTTCGTCCCTGTGGAGATGATACTCGTACTTTTCACCACTATTCTACAATCTTTTTAAGTGCCAAAAATCTCACATCACTCGGGGAGACCAAATCCTGAAAAATTGATTTTGATTTTGCTTATGCTTTTAAAAAAGAAGCAGAAGCAGAATGAGTTTCAAACACCCGCATACTCTTTGTCAATACTCTTTGTCCA